CTTAGAATGGACTTATTTATGTCTCCGCAATTTATTAACACGGTACCTTTTATGTTTGAGATATGACGTTGGATGAAAGTTTTATTATAAGGTTATATAGTCTCGGAGGATGGTACATAATGAATCAGTGTTGCATTTAGAAAATTTATGGTAGAAAACCCTGTGTTTGTCGGTGTTTAAAAGTGGGAGTCTCATCTAGAAAAGTTCTATGTTTTGCTAGTATTAAGCTAAGCAAATCATATCTGTGTATGATATCTATTACGTAACTTCCTAGGACTTGGTGGCATAACGTGTTTGTCTTTCAAATCTTGATAGAATTGGGAAGGTCTAGGGTGGGATTTTCTTCAGATTCAGCAAAGCTGTAATCGTACTGTCAGTATCTCAATTCATTTTCTTCTACAGGTGGAAATTGTAAGGTCCAAAAATCAAGTTTGGAGTTGTTGTGACTCTTTATTCTGTAATAGGTTTTGAGTTCTGGTGGCACTCTAGTGTTTTATCCTTAAACCTGTAAACGGTTGGGTGTTATTTGAGATTCCCAGGAATGTCATGGTCCTCTATTTCAAGTTATTTCTGTCACTTTTTCTAATTGGGAATGCTTGTATCCTAAGTTATGCTCCTAGGATGGTAAATGATGGTCAATTCTCCACAACTGCAGGTTGGTATTATTCCATTATAGCTGCTGCACTCAATGTTTATACTAGTTGTTTCGTTAATGAGAAGTATTTTTCGCCTCTTTCCTTTAACTTGCACTGGTTTCGGCAAGCATTTGAAACCTACTCTAGCAGCGGGCAGGATTTTAACCTGCCTAACCACAATGTACATCAAAGTTCTGGTTGGTGGCATTTGCACCATGACAAGTATTGCTACTTACGCTGTGTTTTTCTGTGACCATAAAATTTGACGATGATAGCATGCACCATGCAGGTAGCTCCCCAATTATCATTTGCGTGGCTGCCCAAAAGCCATGGTAGTATGGATTTACTTTGGTTGTGACTCGACTCGGAAAATATTTAGAAGCTGACGACAAACATTGATTTTACCTTCAACTCAAAAGGGCAAAGCTCAATTTGCTGCGTCATCAATGATGTTCATGAACTCGACATATACACCAATTGATGCTCATTGCAGCGGTTCCCGCATGCTTTGGAGAAGACATGTACACCAATTGATGCTCTTTGCAGCAGTCCTCACATGCTTTGCAGAAGACAATTTACTTCGTAATTATTATAGAAAATACTAAAATGCATGCCTAAATCACTGTAAAAGGCGCAACTATAACCCCTCGCACAATTTATTTCGGATGGTTAAAGTAATTTTTTATTTGCTGTTTTGGTAATCCAACTTTTTACTCATCGTATGACTTTCTTTATGGCTAAATTGATGATCAATTACTTTTGTTATGTTATGAAAAGACAAGATTGAAAGATAAGAGGGTCAAAGGTTAGGGAAAATAGGTGGCAATTTAAAAGTTTGCATGAAAAGTTTAGTTTAGTCCTTAAAATTTCTAATTTCTAGATTTTCTATCATAAAAATCTTAGTTGATGTTGATTTTGATAAAAACAATTATCAATATTTGTATCAGTAAGTTTTATTTAATGAGATGGATTCTACTACGGTGTTGTTCGTCTTCTATCTTGTCAAAGATGATAGAAACAGGCTCTCGGAAAGATTTTTTAGTTTTAGCGTGGTTTTTGAACCAATTTTTAGCTAATTTGAGCTCATGGAAGGGTTTATTTAGGATGCGACAGTTCTAATGCTACCAACGGCATCGTTAGCTACTTGACTAGCGTCTTCATACATCACCTATATGATTTACATCATCACTGGTTTACCCAAAACATATCCATTGTTTGTGAGATTACAGAAGATATGGGGGAAGACCTACCTCTGCATCAGCACTGAAACCCTGCACAAACTTTGCCTGAATATACCATTGGATTAAAAACAAGGGAGATATAGCAATAATCATCAAGGATAACATTTGCTGCAAATGCTATAATCAAGGCTGTCAAGATTGATGATGTATTCTCAATGATCTCCAACAAGACTTCTAACTGCAAATGCTATAAGCAAGGCTTCCAAACAACGAAATTGGCTCCTCGGGCTTGTTGACGTATAGAAACCGTGTAATCGTGTTCATCGTCATGGACGCTAAGTGTTAAGGAGCGTTGGCTTCCTGTTGAAACTCCGGTAATGGATCTTCGAAAAGAATGTCTCTGGCTCAGAGAAATAGAGCCATACCTGGCAATGGACTTACCGGTGTCCAAATTCTTTTCCAACGTATTTGGATCAATATCCTGAGACTCTTTGGATTCCTTGGCTTCTTCTTGGAGGCGAATTAATTGGGAGTAGGCCCCTTCTGGATCTTTTATCAGTCATCATGGCTGCCTACAATGTTTGAAGATTTAGTTGGGGAACGATATAGAAATTTAAAGATGAAGCAGCAAGTATAGCAATACCTTTCTCTATAATTTTTCCCAAATGAACCACGCAAATGCAGCCATCCTACTCAATTGCTTGAAGCATAAGAGTTATGGTGATCGATCTAGATGTAGATTAATTGCTAAAAAACTTGTCAAAATTAAAAATAAAATAAAGAAAACTAAGTTGCTCAAGAAAACATCAAGGAAACAACATATTACTCTAAAGAAAGAGGTTTACCTCGGGCATTTGGTCAATGAATTTGGCAGCATTGGCAAGTTCAATTGCTGTTCTAGTCTCTTGATCAGGTGCATTTTCTTTTCCATATGAAATGTTTTCCTTTATGCTAGTTGCAAATAAAATAGGTTCCTGGCTGCGAGAACAATCTTCTCCCTTATCCAACGAAGCTTCAGCTTCTTTGAATTAACACCATCTGTAAGTACTTGGCCGGAATCAGGATCATAAATCTCTCAACACGACTAATAACAGTTGACTTTCCTCTTCCACTTTGTCCAACTAAAGCTGCAGTTGTGCCACTTGGATCTTGTAACGAAAATGCAGAAAAGATTAGAACATCAGGCCTGGCTGGATAGCTGAAATACACATCTTTGAGTTCAATTTCTCCTTTCACATCTTCCAATTTGATGCACTAGTGTCATAGGGATCAATCTTCGGTGTCCGATTGATTGTCTCAAAGATCTTGGATATGCTGCAGCTTGCCCTGCTGTAAAAGCAGCCATGCATGGAGAACTCTGACTCGATGACCTAGTCAATTGAAGATACCTCAAACAAATAAGGTTGTTGATTCTATCTAACTGGATATCTAACACCTTTGATTCTTCGTGTTGAGACAATTAACACTTACAATTAACTTTCAGCTCGCCTGTTATACTTTCCAATTGCATGTTTCTCCCCCGTGAAGGACACAACTTTGTAGACGCAAGAAACATAGAATGAAATTGATTCTATGATATACAAGTAAATTAATGATGTGTATGTCTTACGTTTCTTATGGCTCCAATAGTTTGCAAAACAACATTTCCAGCCTCTGCATAAGCAAATTTTCCGCAGCTTGACATTTACCATGCACTTGAGGTCTTGGATCGTTCATGGTCTGGTAGAGGAAGAGATTTGTTATATATATATATGAGTTTAATTGTTTGATTTTTTTTATGCATGTTTATCATTTATCCTGTGATGCTTTACCCTGTGATGCTTTGTTTGAATTTTTTTTATGCATGTTTATCATTCATCCTGTGATGCTTTACCCTGTGATGCTTTACTTATTCACTGAATTTATATGGTATTTAGTGGGATCAAAAGTTAATCTTGACATGTATAAGCTAACCCGAATACCCCAACTTATAAAAAAAACATAATGATAACTTTATTTTTTAATTTTATTTCTTCATGATTTATTTTCAAGTGAACATGTTTTGCAATTTATTTCTATTTGATTTTTATTGGGTTATTAGTGTTTTATAAAAATGTTATGTTATTGGGCCAATAAAATAAAATTTAAAAAATATATTATATTATATTATATTGATTTTAATAAATTTTAATTAACTGATAAAATGGTATTGGCGTAATCTCAATTAAACATAATTTTTTTAATTTAAATAATAAAAAATAATTAAATTTTATTTTAAGTTAAATAAAAAGTTAATTACAGCGAATGGTTAAATTTTATTTTTTTAAAAAAGAATTGAGGGGAAAATGCATTAAAAAGAAATTAAAGCTTGAATTGTATCTCTTGACCCGTTAAAACTTTGATATGTGTCAATGATCATTTTTATTTTATTATATTTTTATATTTAGAAGGATAAATACCCATTATTTCTTTGGAACTTCTGACCTAAATATCATATTGATGCAAATCTTATCTAGTCAAAAAGGCTAATTTAGATGTTCACAAAGCCTTTTTTCTTCAAATTCAAAGTATAAACTCTTGAAAGGTATTTTGAACCTATAAAATCTAAATGTTTTCATGTGCAAATCAAACCTAGAAAAAATAGATTGGAGACACATCAAGTTTTTAATATATTGGATATAATTAAACATATAAAAATACATTGAACATGACATATAAAATATAAAATATAAGAACATGTGGAACTATTTTTTTTATAAAACTATGTATTAAAATAAAATTTGCAATATTGATGTTTTTGTGATGCAATGCTTTTTAATGTTATTTTTGTCTTTTAAGTAAAATAAGTAACTTTTCATTTCCAAAGGCTTACATCTCATTTTTAAAGAAAAAGCTAATACACTAGTAGACGTGCTTTCATAAAAAAACTCACTATAAAAAATTAATAAATGTTTAATTTATTTGAAAAAAGCTAATATACTGTTAGAGAAAGCTAATTATGTTTAATTTTATATAATTTTATTGTAGAAAAACTATCTTTTTTTTTTCATTAATGTTTCCACATTATTTCTGTTTTTTTTTCTTCTTTTTTCTATTTCTGTAAACTAAATAAATTAGACGATTATGTTACAAATAAATTTAAATTTAAGAAGTAAATAATTAGTTATTGATATTAATTTATAATTTACTCCCTTTCCTTCTTAAGACTTCTCTCTTCACTGGTTTTTACACCTCCAAGCACCAAACCACTAAACACGCACGCAACAAACAGAGAACTAATAAGAGAAGTTGCTTCTGTAGCAACTGAAAGATGAAAATGGAGGAGCACCAAGAAAGCAGCAAGAAGAGAGCCCGCAAAAGAGAAACGAGAAAACCAATAACCGCTTCCGCTTCCGCTTCTCTCCCTTAACAGCACTACCACCGTATTCCCTCTCTTACTAGCTGCAACAACCCAACCCGCCAACACTCAAAACAACACACCCAGTAATAATTTCGAAATCCTAATCAATACACTCTTAACCAAACTACACCACTCTCTCCTTCCAAACAACCAAACATTTCCCATTTCAGTCCTCTCCTTGTTTCCTATCCTCATGAACTCCAAGTAATTATTTCCTCTCTCCTTTTAATTTGGCTTACTTTATGGAGCAGTTGGTGGGCGTTGCTGATTCTTGGAAATAATTGTTTCAGGTGTGCAGCAATTGCGTGTCGAAGTGCGGAAATTGTTGGGTTGGCTTCGCTGGTGTCAATGGAAATGAATGAACTGGTTGCTTTGGATATGGGGACAGTGAAAGGTTTGATCTTGATGATAGTGATTAGAAAAAGGAAACTTTCAGTGGCTGCTTGTGATGCCCTTTTGGACTTGTCCACTACTTTGATTGGAAGACAAAGGTTATTGAAGTTCTCAGCTTTAGAAAGGCTTGTGTGATTATTTTTAACTATGGTCTTCATTTCTTTTCAAAGGGTTTGGTTTCATATGAAGTTTGGTTTTCTTGATTGATTTAAAGTATCCCAATTTCCATTTATGATGGAAAGAAAATGGTATATCTCATTTGCTTAAAAGGTTTTATTTTTCTAAAAAAAAGGAATTTGGACTTTATTGTTTTTGTGATTTTAAGTAGTGCTGAAAATGTAAATGTTTCCATTTGTATATTGACTTAACATCCATTAGTTTTGGATTTCTTCAGGTTCCTGTATCTTCGATAAAGGTTTCTTTATATAATGAAAATGGGAGTAGTATTGCCTGTGCCAGGATAACTTTTAAAGAAGATGGAACATTCAGTGTCACTTCTTCATACTGCTATTACTTTCATTAATACTTGCAACATTGAGCACTTGGAAAAGATCCCATCGAAGCTGTCTGAAAAATTCTTGGATTCTATGAAAAGTTTGTGGGAAAAAGTGCACAATCAGATGTTACTTGGCAATGCTTGGATGTCCTTTCAAGAGAGGGATTTAAATTTGGGCAATGTTACAGTTAACAATCTGGCAGAAAGTATTTTTAACTTCTCTATTAATACCAGTGAACTTGTGATTCCTTTGCCATCTGTGTTAGTTGAAAGAAAGATCTTTGGTTGAAGAGAGCTAAGTTTTGAAAATTTCGTGTTACATCACTGTGAGCCTCTCCTTCTCATGTAAGAAGGCTGTCAGTGTCCTTAATTGAGGAAGATGACATTTTTAGTTCAATTGCACAATCGCTAAACTGAAAGAAGCATCTCCTACCTTTGTTTCATATGTACTTCAAAGTTTAGTTTCATGTGTACCTATTGCTTCAGATGAACTGAACATCTTAAGTTTCCTGGAGGAGGTGAGAAGTTAATTGGGTTGTCCTATAATCAACCAGGAGGACATATGAGTAGTAAGAACAGAGCACCCTTCAAAGAAAGAGGTGCATTTCTTTCAAAAGAAATTTGATCCATCCTGCTTTAGGAAACATGCTTTCAATGCTATGGATATTATGAAATGTGAAGAAGCATTTAAAGAGGACCATACAATAGCTCTGAGTTTTGGCTTACAAGTATTGCAGCTCTTGCAGATGGTTACAAGTATATACTGGACACCACCTAATTCTCAGGGATGGGATAGTCACTGTGATGACGATTGTGTGTTTGTATGCCAACTCTTTGGAACCAAGCAATGGACAATCTATTCACAACCAAATTTGCTGTTACCTCGTTTGTATGATCCTCTTGATAGAGAAGAATGTTTTGCGGAAGAAAATTCTTTGGCTGGACATAGAAAGCTCCTGTTGAGGGAAGGTGGCATTTTGTATATTCCAAGAGGCTTTCCTCACGAGGCATGTACACATGACGTTGGGTCTAGTGATTTAGCTAGATTTTCCTTACGTCACATCTGGTATTGAGGTGGAACCTCCTTTTGAGTAAGTAAAAGTTCATCCTTTACTTTTCTCTGCAATAGATTTGTTCGGTCTTACATGTTGAAAAATTATGTTTGCTTAGCAAATTTGTTTTTCGTCTCTAATTTGGTTGATTTATGAAATTAATGAGGTGGGGTTTATTACGCATGCACTTGCTCACAGCAGGATGACATTAATCCCTTGCACCTCTCCCCTAGAAGACAGATACACGTATGACCAGTCAATGAACTACTGATTTTTTCGGTTGATAATATTCAAGTTTATCCTCACCTACATGTCCCCCAGCAGTTACCTCTGACTGACAATATCTGCCAAGGGCCATTTATCCGTTGGAGCTAGCTAATATCCGTTTCCTCAAAACAGAATAATTAATTACTTTGTTGGGGCATTCAATTTATGGGTTGGATTCTAGGTAACTTCTGTGATGGCCTGTGAATGGCCAATGCACTCAAGAAATATGGCTTCATTAGGAGTTTTCATGAATCCTGTTGGTTTTGGGAGAAGAGAGTACTAGTTGTTTAAGGATAAGGAGTCTATTGAAGTTCACTATATTTGCTGTGATATGGAAATCTTTGGGTAGCTGAATTTAAATAACCAGTCCTTATCAAGGCAGTTATTTGCAATATGATTGTTTTTTCACCTTTTGTTCTCTTTTAAGGACTTTTGCTTCAGACGTATTTAGGAGGTTTTTTTTTCTCAGGTTAGGAGGCCCTTTTGCTTTGATTTTCTAGTTATTGTCTTCTAAGGAAAATAACTTGCAATCATAGTCACTTTTTTCTCCAATAAATTCTTTGAAAAATAATCACCAAAAAAGTTCCTTTTGTGTTTGCGGTAGTTGATGTACCTAAGATTTTATCAATGCCATTTCTCATCATATGGATTTCTTTAGTCTAGATTGAAAAGTTTTTTGACTGATTCAATTGATGTTGTTTACAAAGCTGGAAACTCAGCAGCCCATGTGGACTGGCCCATGCTATTGACAAAATTATTTAATGAAGACATTTTGTCTCTGAGACAGAGACATAGTTTTGGGCTAATGTCTCTGGAAAAGCTAACTCATGGACATGTCTTTAAAATATATATAGGGCGCACAGTAAGGCTTGTGCCAAGGATTATCTAAATGATAATGTTTGAAACTGATGTACAAGAACATTTTGAATGATTAAATTGTTTCAAAACTATATATGTGGTTAAAATTTCTTATTAATGTTTAGATTGTGTTATATTTTTTACTGCTCAAGGAAAAACTGAAACGAGGACAGATAAAATCTGGTGGTCTTTTATGCGTTAGTATTCCTGCCTGATGCTGTTCACTAATGAAATGTTTATGGCATGCCAAACTCATCAAAAACTAGGATGGATATTCTATTTGGCGTTGCTTCAGTGGAGTTTAGATGAATTGAATCATGGAATTTCAAGCTCTTGCATAGTTATTATATATGAATGTTCTAATTGACTAAATTTTATGTTCCATGTTTCCAAAATGGCATGGGAGGACATGATTATAGGATCTTATCAAAATTGGAATCTTTGATGAAATTAAGATTTATGGCTATCTTGAAGACCATTTCTCATGTGTCCTTTGCTGTATTTCACTTAATCGCAGGTGGGAGGGCTTTGCGCATGTTGCACTCCTTTGCTGGTACCGGACCCAAAAACAGCTGCATCGTGCTTCATTTGAGCCATTGTCTGGAATTCTGGATCTGATGCCTGTGACTTTATTGCATGTAATGATTGAAGTAATTGGGGCTTCTGATTCTACCTCGCGGAAAGCTTCCTTAGTTGGTGCTCATTTTTGCCTTTGGAAGCCAATGATCGGCTTAATTTGGACCAGAAAACCACATTCAACAATATTATTGATCAATTTATTAAGGCATCGAGGTTCTTGGAAGTATTCAGTTGTGTGGAAGTAGCTATTGAAACGAACAAGGATCCTTTTCATCGGAAGAGGTGGCTCAGGCTTCTCTATTAGAAGACAGAAACCATTCAAGAACATGATTGGAATTTAGCTTTCTACGAATTTCATAATTTATTTCCTTCAAGTGCTCAAGTTAAATCTAAGTTCTGTCATGAAGTGTTATTTGAGGATGTGATTGATAGCTGCAAACTACTATTCGAGAAGTACAAGAAAGCCATATATGAATGGAATGCGCTCGCTACATTGTAATGTATCTCTTTCCTCCAAATTAGATTTAGATTATCATGTTTTTTCCCCGAAAGTGTTCTGCCCTATCAGATTCGGAGGGCAGCCCATACCAGCAATTGGTTTATTGCATTTATTAAAACAAATCACAGGTATAATTGATCAGTAAAGCCTGTTGACAAAATAATGTCTGTCACTTTTTTAGTCTGTTTATATGCTACAAGTACAATTTGATTAGTAAAACCTTGAGAAAACACAAATGCCGCTCATATACTGCCAGCAGAAATATATATTCATCCTAATTGTCTTGGTATAATTAATACATCGTCAACTAGTTGATTAAAAATGAAGTACATGAATGCAGCATTTCTTCATCTGAAATCTTAAAGAAAGATATTTTAGGGTTTGGGATGCTTTGGAGTTGGAGTTGGATGAGTTGTCACGCCATGGTAATCAACGTGGTAAACAAGATCATCTAAATTATCACTGCTGCTTGGATACGCCGGTTGCCTAGAATCTTCCTTGATTGTTGCTTGCTCAGTCTTTTCATCAAGAACCTGCAATCCGCACATCCGTACTTGTTACTTTTGGAATATCAATTTAGAAATGGAACGGAGAAAAACAAGTGTCTAAAGCTATTGTGATTGTTCAAGATCTCCATGTAAAGTTGGACGGACAAGGTATTTCAATCACCAAACCGTTAGTTTTGTTGCTTCCAGGCACGCTCAAGCTAAGGATCAGAACGTGGACACTACTGTTAGGCACAACATGGTGAAGTTTGAATACCTAGAGAACATACGGACACAAGTTTGGCACGTATACAGAGCAAATGATGGCAACGTGTGCAATCAGAAGAAGATTTCTGCAATGTTGTATTTCGAAGCAAAAAGGGAAATTCAATCAAGCTTCAGATCCTACCTTGGTATTCTCATGCTCATCTCTGAAGGTGACCGATGACATCCTCTGTTCGCTCATGGATCTCTGTTCTCCCATGGATCTCCTTCCTGTGAGGAAAAACATGGAAGGGGAAGAAGAAGAACTGATGTTCTGGGAAAAGAAATAAAAAGCAGTTGTAAGCATCACCAACAAGATAAGATTTAAAAGTTTCATTATTCTTGCTAAGGACTTTTGCGTTATCTCCAGGATGAAAGAAAGTTGTGGAAGAGCAAATAAATATACACAGAAGAGCACAGAAGGCAGTGCCAAGAGATAGAGAGAGAGTCAATTATTGGTAGAGGGGCAGGGGGGACATGTTTGAGCCCATGCCTGTGATTCTGTTGCTTGTGAGATTGAAAAATACCAGAGACCATGCCAGGACGAACTTTGCAGCCTCTCCTTGATGCTATTATCACCCAAATTTACACCATTTTCCCCTGTAGGATTTGACAGTGGAATCATGGTGTTTTTTTTTTTGAAGGCTGGTAAAGCAAGGAATTCCTTTCATGAGTGTGTTCAATGTCAAACAAAACCAAGTGTGTTTGAACCATTAATCCATGTTTTGTCCTCACCATTAAGGACTCGATGTGGTCATGTCATCATCCTTTTGCTGTATTTGCTACTCTCTCCCCTACGCACCATCTTTACAAGGCATATCAACATGAATCATGAATTTGCTGTATTTTTCTTTCTGCCTCTAGGGAACTACTTTTGCTAATATTTGCTTGTCATCTCTCTCTCTCTCTCCACACACACACACACACATTCACCAACCTATTTATGTTTTGTCGTGGGAGAAATTAAAATTCAATTTTAACATAAAAAATTATATGTAATGATACAAATCTAATTATATGATCATGAAACCAATAATTAAGATTTAAATTTAATTTTAAAAAACCAAAAAAAATATGATAGAAATATGATACAATAAAAACTTGTTTCAATAAACCATTATTATTGAAATAAAATCGAATAATGTCACGAAACCAATTAGTCTTTGATAAATTAAATTCAATTTATTTAAAAATAAAAAAATATAAGAATTGCCCTCACATTTTAAACTGAAAAGTTAAGAAGTATTATTGATCAAAATGTTATCAAAACTTAGACTTACAAGAATTTAAGTAGAACAACAAAATATAAGAATTGTCCTTACATTTTAAACTGAAAATTTAAGAAGTATTATTGATCAAAATGTTGTCAAAACTTAGACTTACAAGAATTTAAGTACTTCTGATAAATTAACCTTAATATATCTATCTTTAATGGGCTGAATAGATTCACTTATAAAACTAACTCAAAATCTATACTAGTAAGCTCAGCCTTGATTCAAATAAGCATTGAATCTTAGCTGAAAACAAATTATTGACTAAACCCAAACAAGTCTTAGGCTATAATTGAAATAATAAAAATAAAATTTATAAATTAATTCCATATGCTACTATGAGAAAAGAAAATAATAATAATAATAATCTGATATAAAGTTTATTCATAGCCTACAATGTTGTCTAAAGGTTATAGAAATCAATCTGTCATTAAATATCACCATTTTTTTTTCTTGTGTAACTAGAATGAATAAAAAATTATTGTAAAAAAAGATTTTATAACATTAACGAATCATCGCCACACTTAAAATTATATTGCAGTCCATTAAAGACCATAACTAGGAATTTTTAAATTAATTTATGCATGAATTAAAAGTGTAATTTCTTAAAGATACATCCTTATATTACATAATTATAAATCTCAACTACTAATGGCTTTAAAATTCCAACTTTAAACTGATAAGTCTATTTTTAATATAATTAACAAATAATTGCCCCTACCCACTAATTAAGAAGTGATGTATAAGATGGAAAATTTTTAAACATCCTCTATATAAAATTTCAACCTTATAACCTTAATAATAGGTTTCATAAAAGGAAAGTCAGTACGTCTAAATTGAACCCAGTCCCTTTATGATACATGAAGAGATCTAGTTTTGCACAATACCATTGATCATCTTATATTCTTAAAATCTGTTTAATATGCATAGGAAGCATTTAAGATTTTAACCATTAAAAAAATAAAGGGAAAAAACAACACTCAATCTACAAAATTGATCTTATTAGTGATGGATACAAATAAAATTGATATAAAAACCCTTCAAATAAGCTCAAACAATCACCTAAAACACTAAAAAGATATATTTTTAGACCCGAGCTACCATACCCTAGCCCAATTGCAACTAAAATACATGAACTCGAGCATAATTACCCAAGCTCATACTAGACGTGTTGTTATGCTCATCCTTGCTTATTAGGCATGACCTTGCTAGGCATGCTACACCTAGTAAGAGATAAGGGTACAGGCGCCAACACTCTAATTACTTTTTTTTATATATAAATTTATTAACTTTATTCTTAAAAAGTTTTTATATCTATTAAAAAAGATATTTTATAAATGTTATTTATTATGACTTATCAAACATCATCTGTTGCTACCCTGCTCATGCTTGGTAGATATAGCCCACTACTATCAACTTTCTAGGTTTTTCATATCAAACAATCAAATATGTAGACTAGGAAAATTAAATTATTTAAACTAAAAAATTAACTAATTATTTAATATATTAATTTTATCCCTGAATAAGCTAGATTAGCATATGTAGCAATAGATCTTTAGCCAGATAATTGTTACCTCACTTAATGTGTTTCTGTCAGCGGTGGACCCTCTCAGAAACAGGAAGGCAGTAGCCTCCCCTAGGTTTTCAATTTTTGCCAATAATATATGCATTTAAGTCTTTGTACTTTTTAAAACTATTCAATTCAGTCCTTGTTTCTCAAAATTTCCTTGCACTTGGATACTTGATTTCCCTTTTTTCTCTTTCTTTTTAAAGCTAAAAAGTCTCTCTATGTGCATATATATAGATACATGGCAAACATATTAGTTGTGAAGGAATCAAATTTAATGTCCAAAGTTGATATAATTTTAGTTATATTCTTGTTTTTTTCTAAAATCTTGTTCAAGATCCGCCATTGGTTCGTGTGTTTGTGTATATAAACCAAAGATCACTCGTCCCCTTGAATATGAGAGACCTGGTCTCATTTATCTGACGTTGAACAAAGTATATGTTACACCCTTTACTTTAATAAAACAAATCAAGTAGTCTTTTTAGTTTTGAAAAATAAATAATCAGCCCCTATGCTTTTAAATTTATTCATGATTATTTCTTCAGTCATTTTATGTTCACTTTCAATTTGTTTTGTTTTTTATTTAAAAAATCAGATAATATGGAAATGTTAATAAGATGAAAAGATATTTTAAAATAAAATAATATTAAATTAAGTCGAGCCTTTGCTGGTCGAAGAAGTGATTAATTAATTTTTAAAATACCAGAACGATTTAATTACCTCATTTATAATTTATTATGTATGAGGTTGTGCACAAATACGCTCTCTTCACGTGTTCAACTTGATATATTATTTGAGTTTGTAGTTGTAATTATTTTTAAAATATTTTTTATTTTAAAATATATTAAAATAATTTTTTTATTTTTTAAAGCAATATATAAAAACAATCCAAACTATTTAAAAAAATTAATTTTAAAAAAAATTATTTTTTTTAAAATCTAACCCTCGTTTCAAAAAGCTATAAAGTCTATTTGTTTGCATGATTGCTTCTGTGTTTGAAGCAACCACAACAAAACAAAATAAATGTATGATAAAGTTAAAAACATAATTTATTTTTGGTGGTACCCACTGCATTTCATGTTTAAAACATAGGTTTTGTCGAAGTAGCTCTCGCCTGCACTGTAATCTTAATTTTATTTCTGATAATATTTCATCTAATTTTATTGTAAGCTCAAAAAATAATGAAAACTGTAGTTTTTATAGGATGAATTTTATACGTTATGGAATTGTAGATGATTTAATGAAATAATAAAAAATATTTTATATAAATTATTATTTATTTCATAATATAATAATAGTGATTAAATTTACAATATTTAAATTTAAAATTATATATATATATATATTACTTGTTTTATAACTTCAATTTAAAAAATATTTTTACCATACATATTAAACTACTTTTTATTAAATATTAATTATAATTATAATTTTAACTAAATATATATAAATATCAA